ATTCAATAAATACACAACGACTTTACCAGATGGTGTATGCTTACTTGAAAACACATCCAATTTGGATCGACAGAGGCACTTCTCATGCTGGGTCTACACTACCATATAATGCCGTTTCAGAATGCATATTAACTGCATTGAACCGGATTATGTAGCAGTGTAGACCATGCATGAGCAACCTCCGGCCCTCCGGGTGTTTTGGACTTCAACTCCCACAATTATGGAAGTTGCAGTCCAAAACACCTGGAGGGCCAAAGTTTGCCCATGCCTGGTGTAGACTCACATGCATGGAATCTGCATTCTGAAACCGCATTATATGGAAGTCTAGACCCAGTCTGGGTTAATTTGAGCAAGACTGGGCCACAAGTCAACACTTGACAACGTTTTTGGCTAGATATTGTGGCCAGTCTTGGGGTCTTCGGGTCCATTTCTACAGGTCATATCAGCCTGAGGTTGTTAGGAATTGTGGGAACTGAAGACCAAAACACTTGGAGGACTGAAGTTTGCCCATGCCTAGTGTAGACTCATATAATCCAGTTCAATGCATGGAACCTGCATTCTGAAACCGTATTATATGGCAGTCTAGACCAAGTCTGAGTTAATATGAGCAGGACTGGGCCACAAGTCAACACTTGACAATGTCTTTGGGTGGATATTATGGCCAGTCTTGGGGGTCTTCGGGTTCATTTCTGCAGGTCATATCAGCCTGAGGTTGTTAAGAATTCAGGGAGATGAAGTCCAAAACACCTGGAGGGCCAAAGTTTGGCCATGCCTGGTGTAGACTCATATAATCCAGTTCAATGCATGTAACCTGAGTTACATTATATGGCAGTCTAGACCTAGCATGAGTTAATTTGACCAGGGCTGGGCTAGAAGTCAACACTTGACAATGTTTTTGGCTAGATATTGTGGCCAGTCTTGGGGTCTTGGGGTCCATTTCTGCCTTCGCATCAGGGGAAAACAGGCACAAATACTTAGCCATAACTCAGTGGCAAAGCACTCTATTTGTTAGTCTGCAGGATACCCCAAGTTTGATCACCAGTCTAAAGTTTGAAAATAATAATAAAAATAATTAACAGGGACGTGGGGACTGGAGGTGAATAGTCATCAGACTATCATAGTTCCCTCATTAATATAGAGTGGTCACCGATCACCCCATTTGTGGACAGGCTGGCCACTCCAAATGACGCTGAACTATTTAAGATGTGCAATGTTTACCTTGTGTTTGGGCTACTTAAATATTCTGCCACGCTAGTCAAGTTCCCAATATTGCCAGAGCAGCATTTCAGGTTATATTTGAAAGCTGGGTTTCCTACCATGAGGGAAGAGTGTTGAGAAATGCCTGACAAGGATATGGACCCTGCCTCTAAGGAAAAATATTCCCGTAAAATTAATACAAAAATGTATTGATTGATTGATTGATTGATTGATTGATTGATTTACTACTTGCTGTACCCACCACAAGTTGCTGTGGCCAACCTTCCCTCTTTCTTTCCTTCCCTCTTTTTCTTTCCCTTCTTCTTCCTTCCTTCTCTACCTGTTTCGTTTCTCGCTTCCTTTGCTCTTTGGTTGCATCCTTCCTTGTCTCTTTCCTTCCTTTCTTCCTTCCTTCCTTCCTTCCCTCCCTCCCTCCCTCCCTCTTTATCTCTTTCGTTCTTTCTCTCCTTCCTTCCCTCTCACTTTTTTATTTCCTTCTCTCCTTCCTTCCTTCTCTTTCTTTCTTTCCTTCTCTCCTTCCCTCCTTCTTTCCCTCTTTCTCTCCCTCCTTCTCTCCTTCTCTCTTTCCTTCCTTCCTTCCTTCCCTCCCTCTTTCTCTCTTTCGTTCCTTCTCTCCTTCCTTCCCTCTCACTTTTTTATTTCCTTCTCTCTTTCCTTCCTTCTCTAACTTTCTTTCCTTCCTTCTCTCCTTCCATCCTTCTTTCCCTCTTTCTCTCGCTCCTTCTCTCTTTCCTTCCCTCTCACTTTTTTATTTCCTTCTCTCCTTCCTTCCTTCTCTAACTTTCTTTCCTTCTCTCCTTCCCAGCAAAATCAATAAAAACATGTAAAAACTGTTAAAAACACTGTCCAATCACATCTTCCAACCATTCCGTTTTCCTATGTCTGTTACACTGTATTTGGAAATGCCTGCTCAAAAAGCCAAGTCTCGACTCTCTTCTGAAATGTTAAAAGGGAGGGGGCCGATCCGATATCCTAAGGGAGGGCATTCCATAGCTGAGGGGCCACCACTGAGAAGGCCCTGTCTCTCGTCCTCGCCAGCCATACTTGTGACGAAGGCGAGACCGAAAGCAGGGCCTCCCCAGATAATCTTAAAGTCCTGGAAGGTTCATAAGGAGAGCTGCATTCTAAATAAATAAAATAAATAAAATATTTTATTTTAAATTAAATTAAATAAATAAAATAAAAACCCAACTAAAGCTAGATTCCCTTACAGACAGATAGTCCCTATGTACTGAATTTTAAAGCTCTAGTTCTATATTTTAGGATGCCCAACCTTTTGGGGCTGCGGGTGTTCTGTCACGCACTGGGCCTGTAAAGAATTGCCTTTAAAATAGGAGGTGCAACTTGAGCCCAGCGGGAAGCCAGGGGGCCCCGAAGAGAAGTTCTCAAGGATTTTCCACCACAAATGGTCTTTAGATGGCTTGTGAAGTATAACAAAGTCCTTTATTAATGAACAATCAAACAGAAACTTCTCTTGTTTTCAATAAAGTTAAACAAATGCTTCCAGGCCTTTATGCAACTGGTGGCTTCCTAATCATGTCCACGAGGGACAGGCAATTGTCTTCAATAACTGTTTCTTTACTTTAAAGGAACATCCCTTTTTGACTTCTCCCAGGCTGACTGTAATCTAATCCTTACTGATGTGGGCTCCGCTACCGGGTCAAACTGTGTCTCGAGCACCGAGTGGACCTACCAGTAAGGCCAGTAGATTCTCCAGCTGGAGTTCTTTGGTCTTTCAAACTGTTTACCCTCCAAAATTCCTCAAAGCTTTAGGGCTGCTTCCCTGGAAATCTTTGGATGCTCTTAAGACTGTTCTCCCCCAGAAATTCTTAAGGGTTGAAGCTTTTGTACAGGAGAAGCTTGTACACGTCCTCTAAATTAGCTTTCCTTACTGAGACTAACTAAATATGGCTTCCTTCCCTTCCCAATTGCCCTGAACAAGGGGCGGAACCAAAACTTAATGATGATGGAGAGGTGACTTGCCCTACGACTGCAACCAAAGGAAGCCACCTTTCTGCAGAATCCCTGAAACCTTGGACTGCAAGCAAACATTTAATACAAAGCAAATAAAGTTGGAGCTCCTGGTACAGCCGTACCAGCACAGGGGGCATTTTGAGAAGTTTAGTGCACCAACACAAAATGGCTGCCACGGGGAGGGATGCCAGTTCACAAAATGGCCGCTGTGGCAAAGAAGTGGCCCGGAAGAAAAACAAGTGATACCAAAAGACAACGAGCATAATGTTAAACATAAAGCCGTAATTCCCGTAAATTACATTTATTGGTAGATATGGTATAGTCAGGAAGAGAGTAGGTTTGGTAACTTTTGCCTGTGACAAAACATTATCTACAAATAAATAGTGCGAAACGTACTTTGGTATTGCGGGAATATTAGCTTTCATTCTTCTTAGGAGAAACAAATTTATCCTTTCGTATTTTTTTAATACAGATCCTTGTCTTTAAAAAAAGAAGATAGGGATTTTAATTGAGTGAAGAGAGAGGAATATATTATAATTGTATATTTTATATTATATGTAATATTACTAATAATATTACAATATAATGGTATAGTACAATATAGTAATATATAATACTGATATTGTGCTACGCTAATAATATAATATATTGTATATACATATAATATATGTAATATTATAATGTACTCCAGTGTAATACTACTAATAACAATATGATATTATTATTATATATTTTATATATATGTAATAAAATGTCAGGAGAGAATGCCTCTAGACCATGGCCATATAGCCCGAAAAAAAAACCTACAAAAACCCAGTGATTCCGGTCATGAAAGCCTTTGACAATATCTAGAGGACCTCACAACCTCTGAGGATGCTTGCCATAGATGCAGGCGAAACGTCAGGAGAGAATGCCTCTAGACCATGGCCATATAGCCTGAAAAAACCTACAACAACCCAAGATTATTATTTATTTGTTGGCACTCTATAGGGACATTTTGATCCGCTCGCCGCCTTGCGCCTTGAATATCCGGAAAGGCGGACTGGAGATGACAAGGCATCTTCAATGAAACGTTTGCGGGCAAGACAGCGATGCGCGCTCAAACAAAAGAACAGGTGGGTTTCTGATTTATTCATACCGTTCCGTGAATAATTTAGCATTGTATGATAATTTAATATAGAGGTGGCGTGTATTAGTTATGTGTATAATTGGCAGCAGAGAGAGTAATAAATATTTCAGCTTGCCCCTCCTTCCAAAACGTGGGGGGAGAAAGCACTCGACAGTAACAGTAGTCGTAATGCAAGCTTGTGTTGACAAAGACCGAAAGATCCTTGCATTGAGTCCCTGATGGACGGATGACGAGAGCCACTCCCACTGTCGACCTTCATTTAAATATCATTAAGGATGCATTTATTTATTTATTTATCCTGGGCAAACAAATCAAATCCTTCCTTTCCCTTTCTCTTTCTTCCTTTCCGTCTCCATCATGCCTACCCAAATCCTACCTCTAATTTGGATATCAGAATGGATGACAGACACATACAAGCAAGCAAGCAAGCAAAAATGGGATGTTAGTTCAAATCACAGCTTTGGGAAGAGCATGGGTTTCTTTCTGCCAGAAGGACGTGGTGCCAACAGACAGAGCTCGGGTGTGCCAGCTTGGCCTATTGTTCCACTTTCGGGTGGTAATTAATTAACGGGATTTCAAAAAACAAAAAAAAAGGAAAGGAGGAGAGGACAGACTTTTGGAGGAGGAGGAGGAGGAGGAGGTTGTTGTGTGGCAACAATTCGGCAGCTGCGCAACCTACCTCACGTCACAATGCGGCCATCTTACAAACAGCGCTGGGCTCCATCAAAATGGCTTCCTGGCACCGAGAGGGTCTTCTCGCCAGGGAAGGGGTGCCCGTCTCCCTCTCCGCCTCCACCTTCCGTGCCATTCTCGGAGGGCACCACCAGCCCAGACGTGCTTCTCTCGATGAAGGACAACTAGGAGGAGAGGGTGGCGCACTGGGTGACCCTCCGTCTTCGGTGCGGTTGCCGTTCATGCCGATTTGGGAGGTTTCTTATCTTGGCAGCAGAATGTCGCGCAGCCTCTGCGCAGGAGACAATAAGGCACGGCGTCATTACTCACATAGTACGGTGCATGGGCATAATGCCATGGTTACATGCAGGAAGACAAGAAACAAAACCCACAGAGATAATCCCTGGGAACTGATAGATCACGGTATTCAACACAGTGGGGCCAAGACCAAGAGGAGGACACAAAATCCATCACCAGGTGCATACAAGGGCAGCAAATGTGATGTCATGTCCTTTGGATTGTACATCTCTACACTACAATACTGTGGAATTAATGTTAAATAGGAATGCGTGGGTGGGAGAATCAATTTTTTGCTGTCAACAGATCTTGACTGCCACTATAAGCTCTCATTCCTTGGTTATGCAATAGAGTAGTGGTTCTCAACCTGTGGGTCCCCAGATGTTTTGGCCTTCAACTCCCATAAATCCTAATAACTGGTAAACTGGCTGGGATTTCTGGGAGTTGTAGGCCAAAAACATCTGGGGACCCCAGGTTGAGGACCACTGCAATAGAGCAATGTCAGGTTGGCTCAAGGAGCATTCCCAAACTCTGAATTCGTACCTCCTATCTACCACTTTGAAGCTTGGCCTTCATTCCAGCTTGGTTTCCTTTTGGTCCTCACTCGGACATACTCCTTGGCCTGTTCTGGCCAACATCTTGCTCATCCTTGAACAAATAACCACTTGGTGACACCTTTGAGACAGCAAATCTGCCACCACTTTTAAACTGAAGTGTGAACACATCTGCTACCGGGATAATTGGCATTTGTTTCTAGCCCAGCATTTCTCAACCTGTCAGAAGGGTCGCCAAGATCACCAGAAAACACAGTATTTTCTGTTGGTCATAGGGGTTCTGTGTGGGACGTTTGGGCCAATTCCGTTGTTGGTACGGTTCAGAACGCTCTTTGATTGTAGGTGAATTATAAACCCCAGCAACCTCCACTCCCAAATGTCAAGGTCTATTTTCCGCAAACTCCACCCGTGTTCCCACTTGGGCATATTGAGTATCTATGCCAAGTTTGGTCCAGATCCATTGTTGTTTGGGTTCACAGTGCTCTCTGGATGTAGGTGAACTACAACTTCAAAACTCAAGGTCAATGCTCACCAAACCTTTCCAGTATTTTCTGTTAGTCATGGGAGTTCTGTATGTCAAGTTTGGTTCAATTCCATACTTGGTGGAGTGATCTTTGATTGTAGGTAAACTATAAATCCCGGCAACTACAACTCCCAAGTGACAAAATCAATCCCCCCTCCAACCCCACCAGTATTCAAATTTGGATGTATTGGGTATTTGTGCCAAATTTGGTCCAGTGAATGAACATACATCCTGCAAATCAGATATTTACATTATGTTTCATTACAGTAGCAAAACTACAGTTATGAAGTAGCAAGGAAAATGTTATATTTGGGGGTCACCACAACATGAGGAACTGTATTAAGGGGTCGCGGCATTAGGAAGGTTGAGAACCACTGCTCTAGCCATTTGCAACTCACTAATACTGTGCAATTTAACTTTTGCTACCTGTTTTCCTGAATTCATTCTGATTCAGGAATCTCTACTACTATTTCTGAACTTCCTGGACCGCAGGAACAATTCGTACCGCAGCTATGAAGAAGAGTAGTAAAGCAAGTGCATGGGTCGGGCTTTAGCACAGAAGGTTAACTACCAGCTGCAGTAAATCTTGCCAATCGAAAGGTTGGCAGTTTGAAGCCTGGGTCAGGTTTAGCTCCTGGCCTTTAGCCCAGCTTCTGCCTACCTACAAGTTTGAAAGCAAATGTGAGTAGATAAATAGGTACCGCTTTAAAGCGGGGAGGTATTTAAGGCACCCATAAGGAAATGCCAGAAAAATGCCAGCAATTTGATCAAGGAGGAAGTTTACAAACAAAGCTCTTTGGCAGGGAAGATGGAGCAACACCACCACCACACCATAGATGTTTTTGATAATGATGAACTGTGGATTATTTTACACTATGTTTTGTATTTTGCACCTGTTCTTCTATGTTGTACACCGCAATGAGTCGCCCTTGGGCTGAGAATTGCGGTATATAAGCGAAGTAAATAAATAAATAAATAAATAGCTGAAACCGAGCACAAGCCTCCAAGATGCCAAAGATGGGAAAGCCTAGATACCTCTATCCGATATACAGTTTGTTGTCTTGTCAGTGCATAACAGCATTGAATATTTGCCGTATATGTGTTCTGTGATCCGCCCTGAGTCTCCTTCGAGGTGAGAAGGGTGGAATATAAATACTGTAAATAAATAAATAACTTTTGAGGAGGTAGGTCAGTGACTCAACTTGTGAATGGCTTGAAAGTATGTTGATACTGCCATTCATCCATCTAGCATAATACAGTAAGCCTCATAGTGATTTTCAGTGACAGACAGCAGGCTTCTGGGCTTCTAATAGCTTTAACACCCACGAGCAAAATTAAAAGTGTTACCTACAGATCTGTCATGACTGCCTTTGGACTATGCGAACCTTCCTCAACTTGGTGCCCTCCAGCATCTCAACTTGGTCATGGCTGGCATGATGGAGCAACAACAGGCTAACACATTTGGGGGGCATCAGGTCAGTAAGTCACTGAGGCATCTCCCTTCTGCAGCTGGCACTTGACTCACCTTTTCAGGCTCAGAGATGGAAAAAGACAAGTCTTCTCGCTTGCTGTCTTCAGGGCATCCCGAGCTATGGATTTTTGTCAGTCACATCTGATTAAGAAACAAAAATGAATCTTAATTAGAAATTGGCACCCACATATTTGGAAAGGTGTGCCATCATTACGGTACATTGTTCATAAACACAGGGGTGGAAAAGAAAATGTAGTTTTGGGATGATACACCTGCAGGTCTGCTTCCGATTGATCATTCTACGAAATCTATATAAATAAAAATGTAATGTTCGTTTGCAGGATTAACATAACTCAAAAACTACTGGACAAATTGACACCAAATTTGGACACAAGACACCTAACAACCCAATGTATGTCCTTCACTCAAAAAAAATTGATTTTGTCATTGAATGTGCGTTTCAATGGAGTTTGTTCAAAATTTTCACCTTCTGCTGTACTTGAAATGAAACGGCCACCACCATCTCGGGCTTAAGAGGCCTGTATATACTGGCATAATGCGGAGAGCTCGTCCAGCTCCAGCCCAGTCCCGGTTGCTGGGATTTATAGTTCACCTACAATCAAAGAGCATTCTGAACCCCACCAATGATGGAATTGAACCAAACTTGGCACACAGTTCTCCCATGACCAACAAAATACTGGAAGGGTTTGGTGGGCAGTGTCCTTTGGTTTTGGAGTTGTAGTTCACCTACATCCAGAGAGCACTGTGGACTCAAACAATGATGGATCTGGACCAAACTCTACACAAATACTCAATATGCCCAAATGTGAGCACTGGTGGAGTTTGGGGAAAATAGAATCTTGACATTTGGGAGTTGTAGTTGCTGGGATTTATAGTTTACCCACAATCAAAGAGCATTCTGAACTCCACCAATGATGGAATTGAACCAAAATTGGCACACGGTTCTCCCATGGCCAACAGAAAATACTGGAAGGGTTTGGTGGGCAGTGTCCTTTGGTTTTGGAATTGTAGTTCACCTACATCCAGAGAGCATTGTGGACTCAAACAATGATGGATCTGGACCAAACTCTACACAAATACCCCACATGCCCAAATGTGAGCACTGGTGGAGTTTGGGGAAAAGAGAATCTTGACATTTGGGAGTTGTAGTTGCTGGGATTTATAGTTCACCCACAATCAAAGAGCATTCTGAACTCCACCAATGATGGAATTGAACCAAACTTGGCACACAGTTCTCCCATGACCAACAGAAAATACTGGAAGGGTTTGGTGGGCATTGACCTAGAGTTTTGGAGTTGTAGTTCACCTACATCCAGAGACACTGTGGACTCAAAGAATGATGGATCTGGACCAAACTCTACACAAATACTCAATATGCCCAAATGTGAACACTGGTGGAGTTTGGGGAAAATAGAATCTTGACATTTGGGAGTTGTAGTTGCTGGGATTTATAGTTCACCTACAATCACAGAGTATTCTGAACCCCACCAACGATAGAATTGGGCCAAACCTCCCACACAGAACCCCCATGTGGGCCACAGCAATGCGTGGCAGGGGACGGCTAGTCTATATAAATAAAAAGTAATGTTCATTTGTGGGATTAACATAAATCAAAAACCACTGGACAAATTGATAGCAAATTTGGACACAATACACCTATCAGGCCAACAAGTGATCATCACTCAAAACAACACTGAAAAACACAATGGAAGAGATTTAAAAATCCCCAAAAAGCAAAAAAGATGCTACAGTGCATGTGCAAAAATAACTCCCCCTGGCAAACAAAATACACAATAGCATATCCATACTCTCTTCCAGACTACAGTTCCCAGCATCCCCTAGACCAGGCCCTTTAGGAGAGGAGGATGATTCAAATGCACTGCTTCCAAGCTGCAAGCTTTCTTCTCTTTGGATTTCTTTGAGAGCATCCCAATCCCTGCACATTTCCAATTTCCTATTCCTGGATGGCAACTCCCAGCAATCCTCCAGATAGGTAAAATAGATAGAGATAGGTGGGTAGGTAGGTAAATTGATCAGGAAGACTGCTGGGAGTTGCAGTGTAAGAATAGTTAGAGAAGGAAGAAAGGGGAGAAAGAGGAAGGAAAAGGAAAAGGGAGGAAGGGAAAAGGAAGAAGAAGGAAGGAAGGAAGGAAGGAAGGAAGGAAGGAAGGAAGGAAGGAAGGAAGGAAGGAGAGGAAGGAAGGGAGGGAGGGAGGGAGGGAGGGAGGAGGGAGGGAGGGAGGGAGGGAGGGAGGGAGGGAGGGAAAGAGGGAGGGAAGGAAAGAGGGAGGGAGGGAAGGAAGGAAGGAAGGAAAGAGGGAAGGAAGGGAAAGGATGCAGGGATGGGAGAGGAAAAGAAGGGAAGAGGCAGGGAAGGAAGGAAGAAAGAAAGAAAGAAAGAAAGAAAGAAAGAAAGAAAGAAAGAAAGAAAGAAAGAAAGAAAGAAGGAAGATAGAAGGAAGGTTAGCAACAGCAATGTGTGGCAGATACAGCTAGTCATACAATAAAGCCTTTCCTAACCAGTTCCATTATAAGCTGGCAGGTTAGATGTGGAGCAGGGAGAGCTATGGATGCATAAGCCTTGCGCTACCACGCAGTTTACCATCACTTCCACATTTCCTGCTTGCACAATTTCAGACAATTTCACTGACGCTTCTCCCTATCATGAAATTATGCCATTTAATCTGAAAGATGTTATTTGTTTGTAGGGCACAACACTTAAATTATTGCATCCTACAGTTGTTATTGCTTGCCTTTGAGTTGTATCCGGTTTCTGGTGACCCTAAGACAAACAAATTGTGGACCCAAGGGAATGGGACTTTCTCAAGGCAAAAGAGTTTCTGTGATCGCGCAGGAAATCGAGCCCTGGTCTCCAGACACATAGGCTATATCTATACAGGCCAAATGGAACTGAGTCATCTTGCACCTGCTGTGAGGAGTTCACATGATGTGTAGTTACTTTTAGAGAAAAATGCTGTGCAAGAGGAACTAAAATGTACTATGGCAGTGTTTCTCAACCTGGGGGTCACACCCTTCAGGGGGTTGTGAAGGGGTGTCAGAGGGGTCGCCAAAGATCATCAGAAAACACAGTATTTTCTGCTGGTCATTGGAGTTCTGTATGGGAAGTGTGGCCCAATTCTATCACTGGTGGGGCTCAGAATGCTCTTGATTGTAGGTGAACAATAAATCCCAGCAACTACAACTCCCAAATGTCAAGGTCTATTTTCCCTAAACTACCAGTGCTCACATTTGAGCATACTGAGTATCCGTGCCAAGTTTGGGCCAGACCCATCATTCCTTGAGTCCACAGTACTCTCTGGATGTAGGTGAACTACAACTCCAAAACTCAAGGTCAATGCCCACCAAACCCTTCCAGTATTTTCTGTTGGTCATGGGAGTTCTGTGTGCCACTATCACTGGTGGAGTTCAGAATGCTCTTCAACTGGAATTTCCCCTCTTGTAGTTTGAATCAGGTAACAATATTTTTGATGTGTAGACGCCTATCTAACTTAGTCAATCAACCAGTTAATTTTGACATTGAGTACAAATTATTATCAGTTACTTAATACGTATAGACTTGCTATTTCTTCCTGTTTTCCACTACTTTCAGTCAAAGCTTTCTACTAAAAAAAAACACAAAAAATGGATTCCATCTGAACACGAGGAAGAACTTCCTGACTGTGAGAGCCGTTCAGCAGTGGAACTCTCTGCCCCAGAGTGTGGTGGAGGCTCCTTCTTTGGAAGCTTTTAAACAGAGGCTGGATGACCATCTGTCAGGGGTGATTTGAATGCAATATTCCTGCTTCTTGGCAGAATGGGGTTGGACTGGATGGCCCAGGAGGTCTCTTCCAACTTTTTGAATATCTCAGGACTATGTCTGTTCTTGTTTTTATTGTATTTTAAAGTTAATTGTATTGTTTTAATCTACTGCTGTAAACCGCTCCGAGCCAAATTGGGAGTAGCGGTATACAAGTCAAATAAATAAATAAATAAATTCTATGATTCTATAGAAGCATTCTCTCCTGATGTTTCTCCTACATCTATGGCAGGCATCCTCAGAGTTTGTGAGTTCTGTTGAAAACTAGCACAAACACAAAACAATCTATGCGTAATGTCAAAGTGTATTATCAAAAAAGCATGTAATATTCCATTTACCATGCTTTTTTGATAATACACTTTGACATTACGCATAGATTGTTTTGTGTTTGTGCTGATATCTCACAAGTACTCTGGGATATTGTGTAGTCTGTTGAAAACTAGGAAAATTGGGTTGATATATCTGTGGGAGAAAGAACTCTTGCCTGTTGGAGCTAGGCGTGAATGTTTCAATTGGCCACCTTGATTAGCATTGGACAGTTTTTAGGTGTGGCTTGTTACTGCCTGGGAGAACCCTTTGTTGAGAGGTGATTAGATGTTCCTGATTGTTTCTTGTCTGGAGTTCCCCTGTGTTTGAGTTTAGTTCTTTAGTTACTGTTATAATCTTTCTATACCAGTTTCCCAGGCTGATTGTATAAAATTCAGTATGGAAACCAGAAAGAACAAAAACCAAAATCTAGGACTTTTCAATGAATCACAAAACGCAGAAAGGCCCAAAATCAAGGACTCAATGAATCTGGGTGCACCCTTAATTTCACCGTAAGCAGTTCTCAAACCCCAGGTTTGGAGAAAATAAAACTAGGGAGAACATTAAATTTTTTGACGGTTAATCAGTAGTAACAACCCGTTCGCAAGCAAACAAAAGCTTCCTCTTGGCTGCACACTTTGCGCCCTCAAAGTGAATGGAAGGAAGAAAAACAAGCCTGCCTCTTGAATCATTCCCTCCCCTCTTTCCTTTGGTTGGTTCCTCTCTCTTTCACACACATAGAGAGCAAAGCTTCCTCCATTCCAATGGACAAAGTGGGGAAACATCATTAGGGAGGGAAAATCATTTAGGTTGATAATCGGCATCCGATGGTGGGAAAGAAGAGCGGGAGGGAGGGAGGGAGGCTGAGAGAGAAGGACTAGCGGTTGGAGCTTAGGAAGGGCCAGCAGCACAAAGCCACCATTCATGATGTCCAGGGCCATGGACTCGCGTTGAATTAAACAGACACAAAGAGCGAAGGCATTTCCATCCTCAGCCT